CAATTATCTACCAATCTCTAAATTCTGTATTTTAGCCAAGGTCCTAGAAAAACTGATAAACTCTCAAATCAAAAAGTATTTGGATTTTTTTAACATCCTACCTCTCCATCAATCTGGTTTCAGGAAACAACACAGCACAACCACTGCTTCACTGAAGGTTCTTAATGACGTTGTTGAAGCACTGGATGCTAAGGATTATTGTGCTGCACTTTTCTTAGACCTGTCTAAAGATTCTGACACTGTGGATCAGAACATCTTGTGTCATATGATCTCAGAAATTGGTTTCTCAGATCACACCATTGATTGGTTCACTAACTATTTTTCAAATCAGAGGCAATGTGTTCAACATAATGTTCAACATTCTTCCAGTTATCTTACTGTTAACAATGGTGTACCACAAGGGTCAGTCTTAGGTCCCACCCTCTTCACAATCTGCATAGGTAATGTAGGTCAGATCATTCCAGATGCCTCCTTACATTTCTCTGCTGACGACACAGTTGTTTACTGTTGAACTAAAACTGTCTATCATGGTGCGCTAAGATTCATAACTGGCTGTAACTATCGTACCCACCACTGCACCCAGTATTCACTGGTTAACTGGTCATCATTAACTTCACACAGACTCTCTCACTGTTCATCTTTAAATCACTTCTTGGTCTGCTGCCTTCATACATCTCCTCCTACATGTCTCTGTGTGAGTGCAGCTACAGCGTGCACTCTCAGGACATCATTACCTGCAGTGTTCCCTCAGTGAGGACTGAACTAGACAAAAGGATCTTCTACTACTCCGCTCCTGTTTCCTGGAATATCTTGCAAAAAGACCTGAAGCTCTCGACCTTGATGTCTCTTAAGTGGCTTTAAACATCTGTTAAGTTCCTGGCAAAAACCAACGTAGACATGTTCCTGTTTTTAGTATTTTATATCGCTTTACAATGTAGCTGTTTTTGTTTCAATTTTTTTTACATAATTTTTCTTCCATTTAATTTTTCAACTTATACGCTTTATTTTGTGATTGTCTACTGCAGTCATCATTCTTTAAAAACAGGTCTCTCTTATAAATGAGTCCTCGAGGCTCAATGAGACTAACATGTATAAATAAAGATTGAATTTAAAAAATAATCATTCCTCTGAGTGTATGAAAATATTAAGCTCAAAAAAGTTCAAGACAAAAACAACTGGACTTTATTTGTAACTGAAGACGTTTCGCTTCTCGTCCGAGGAGATTTCTCAATTCAAAGAACAGAGAATGTGGGGTTCGAGTTATAAAGTTGAGCTAAGCTAGATACACATGCAGATTGTCCTATCACTCCTCACAGTAGAGGTTTGTTAGGGTCTTTGTTAATCTGACTCACAGAGGAGCCACTCTGGTGACATGGATGAATTCGTGATAGGATTGAAAATGACTGCTATCAGTCCTAAAGCTGCATTATAACTTTTTGAACGTTGAAATCTGAGACCTCCTCTGTTTAAAGATGGTTTCTTTCGTTTTACATAAACGACTTCCTTCACCCTCCCTCTCAAACCATCTGTCTTCTCGGTCCAAAATGTGAACATTTTGATACTCAAAACTATGAAGCTGCTTTTCAGCTTGTTTCATCTGAAGGCATCACCATTCACAGAACTGTGGTGGATTTTGCAGATGTAATATTTTTACCCCCATGGTTCAGTTGAGCTCTCTTAATCGATCACCTTTTAAACAGAAACAAAAAGAAAATACACATTAGGTTAGCTTCGTGTTAAACTACAAATTGTGTTTTGAGGTTTGCACAGCTAGAACATATTTAATTAAGGCGTTCTGTAACCCATAGATGTGCTTGTACTGATGTTTAGAAGCTGTGTCAAGTCTTAATGGGTTCAGTAAATTGAGCCAGACTGTAAAAGAGGCAGGGCACGTTGCAGAAACCACTCTGGAAAAATGAATTCATTCTTTCGCAGCATGTCAAAAAAAGACAGGCACTGCTCTCGACTTATTTGTAACTGTAATAGTGTTTATGACGACGCTTAAACACTTCTGCACATCTTCAGTATTGGCAACAAATACAAAGCAGCATTCACTTACTGTGGGTTCTCTGGAGAATTACTTGCTCGATTCCCCCACGGGTTCATTCAGAGATTCTCTAAACTGAATGCTTTAAAGCTGGTTGTTAAAAGTCTGCACGGTTCTACTATTTGTGCACGATGCTTTTATGATAGAAGTGCAGATATTTTGAAGGGTCGTGTCAAACTTACGGTTTTGTTTTACCACTTTTTGACTTTAAAACATTGGCTAAATTTGGGCTAAATGTTCCTCTTCAAGTTAAAAATGTATTACTGTCTAAATCAAAGTTTAGATTTCAAATAGAATAATAAATAAGTGCTATGTGTTGTCATCATTGTATGTTCCCATCATAGCTAACAACCACTCTGCTGTATGCACCATCACAGTGCTAGATTATATACAGATTGTCCGCATCGTAGTCGTAAATTGGGATTAGATTTGCATCTTCTTGGCTTGGCTCAACATACTTTAAACTTTAATCTTGTAATCATACTGTAAGACGCTGAATGTTGTTTGTTTGGAAGAATTTGATGCTAAGCTGAACTGGGCTAAACTAAGCTAAACCAGCTGCTGTTTCCCATTGTCCACACAGAAACATGAATAATCTTAATCTCTTTATCATACTTGAACCAAAAAAAAAAAAAGTAAAAACGAAGCAGAACATTTTCTAAAGACTACACTTTTTTAAATAAGAGTTTTAATTTTGCTTTTGAAAAGACCAACAGCCCCAGAGTTAATGGATATAGCGTCATGCTCTCCATCTTTTTTGTAATATAATTTGGGAGCAGGGCAGAGAAAAGGCTAGCTATTGATGTTCCAGGGCTTCTTGGTGACCACACTGAAGGCACATGTGGCTTTCTTTTCTCCCCCTGTGACAGTTTAATTGTATTTTCAATATAAATTGATCAAAGGGCCATTGTGAATGCACATTGGGCTGCCACATTGATTTCCAGGAGAGGTTTTTTTTTTTATTTGAGTAGAAGGGCAGCAGTAAATTTTTCTCACCAGCGAAGTGGGCAGCTGGGAGGGACAGGGTCACAGCAGCTGGCTCTCTGAGCTCAATACTCTGAACTGTCTGGTAATACCCTTCATGGAGCTGTGGAGGAACTTCTCAGAACCCTGAGATGTCTCTGTCTCCACAGAAATGACAGTCAGCATAGACACAATGTCTATCTGACATCTCAGCCCAAAAGATGGAACTCGACGGTTATTAACTGAATCGTTGTGCCGGCAGAGATAGGCAGCCTGATAGACAATCATAGAAAAGGACATTGCTGCTATAACAGCAGGAGAAAGATAATAATGTTGAAGTGGATTGTTTTCAGCCAATTGAGTTGCTGTTTGGAAGCGCATGCCGCAAAGCAGAACACAAAAACAAATAGAATCCTGCAGAATATTTCCTCTCGCCGTGGAGAGAGAGAGTTGTTTTGACCAGAATTCAAGGGGGTTGAATGAGACAGCCGAGATCTTAATCCGAATATACTGGAATTCTGCAACACACTTGACTGGGTCGGCTTGACAGAGTGGAATGAAAAGCGGCGAACACAAAAACAGTGTTAAAGACGCTAATCCAGAGAGCTGTCGGTCTCACGTGTGCCAGCCTGATAAAACTCCATGAATTAGTAAAGCTTCCCAGCACCTGGGATGAAAAGCTTTTTAATATATGATGAGAGGGGAAGACTTTCGTCCCACGTGACCCAGCCACAACACACAATATCCAGCCCTCCTGTCTGTCTGCGGGCAGAGCCAAAGAGCTTCAGAGAAAGTCACGCCGGCAGAGGAAAAATCCAGCAGAACCAAACTGGAGTTAATGAGATGTCAATAGGAGAATTATCGTCATCACTTATCGCGGTAGAGATCGCAATGCAGTTTGGCTTATATTAAATATAGTGTCTGCAAAGCTTTGCCCCCCATTTTGCCCCAAACCGTAGCCCTGTGTCCTTGGTTATTAAAATGTGTTGGGGATGGGAAAAGACCGGACAAGCTTGTGATGAGTTCTTTCAGATAAATATGTTGAGCGGGATTTAGTCGTGGAATTAAAATGTCAGAGCATCTTAAGCTGCTGTACATGCAGAAAGAAGAGACAAATAAATAAACTTGAGACAGAGAGCCCAAGAATAACGAGGAACTCCAGAGGCGAGTGAAGTCTTGGGGGTCTTGCTACTGATCCATCAGGGGACTGGCAGGCGGCTGACGTGCGCTCACTCATGCTGGTTTTTTCCCCCGAACTTTGAGCCACCGGCATTCTGTTTTACATCGGCATGAAAATGCCACCTTGGCCTCGTGACAGAAAGTGTGACAACATGCGTGCGACAATGCGAGTGCACGCAGCATTTTAAACGCTCCTTTCTTGGCAGCTTTCACAAAGACGAGGTAAACCACGAGTGTGTACCGTCGTAACGCTGTGACAGTTTACTAAAGATGATACGAATCTGTTGAACGACACCAAACACACTTGATCAAAGCTGTCAGTGGTTATTTGCCAAGGCCCAGATTGGTCAGATTGCTGATATGTGTGCGTGTGTGTGCGTAAAACTGTGACTGTGCTTTGAAACGTGCGTTCGCTGACATTTTTTGGGTACAAAGTGTTCAAGGCAGGGATGTGTTTTTGTCAGTCAAGCAGCCGGTGATGTGTGTGATGTTTTTCCTTTTCACTTCAACTATTTGAAGGTTTTTTATGTTTTTTGGTATTTTCTTTTCTGTGACATAATTTCTGCTCATTATCATAATTTTAGTTTTCACTGAAAGAGTCTGGCTGCAGCTCGGTGTTCATAAGAGCAAATTAGGCAAATGTGAAAGCTCTTATAAACCAGAGTTTGAAGCAGTGCTACAACAATTAGCAACAGAAAGGACCGAAGAGGAAATTTATTAAAATGAGAATTACCGGAGCTGTTGCTTGTTGTTGCTCTGCGGTTGCAGGGTTTTAGAATCTGATTTGTATTTTTCTCCTTTTTCCTTACAGCTTCACTCGGATGGGGACCGAGGAGATGGCAGTGTGAGGTACGTCCTCACCGGAGAAGGAGCAGGCACCCTGTTTAAGATTGACGAAAAGTCAGGGGACATCCACGCCACCAAGAGGCTGGACCGAGAGGAGAAGGCCAACTACACCCTCCACGCTAAAGCTGTCAATCGCCTTACCAACGAGGCGCTAGAGGGCGAGTCCGAGTTCATCATCAAGATACATGACATCAACGACAACGAGCCACGCTTCACTAAGGACCCGTACATGGCTGAGGTGCCCGAGATGTCTGACGTTGGTGCGTTTCTGCTCCTCAGTCCTACATAGCACGTATAAAACAAACCAAAATACAGTATGCAGTTTTACACAACTGAAGGTTGGGATTTTATTTGTAACAAGAACAAAGGGTTGTTTTTATTGGATCAGTGATATTTGATCAATCTTATGAGGTCAGGGAGGAATCCCCTTGGACTATGATGTTTGCAGATGACATTGTGATCTGTGGTGAGAACAGGTGGAAGAGAACTTGGAGAGGTGGAGGTATGCACTTGGAAGTAGAGGAGTGAAAGTCAGTTGTAGTAAGACAGAGTACATGTGTGTGAATGAGAGGGAGACCAGTGGAACAGTGAGGCTACAAGAAGAAGAGATCACAAAGGTGCAGGACTTCAAGGACTTGGGGTCCACTGTCCAGGAAAATGGGGAATGTGGTAAAGAGGAGAAGAAGAGAGTCTAGGCAGGATGGAGTGGATGGAGAAAAGTTTCAGGAGTGATTTGGGACAAAAGGGTGTCAGCAAAGATCAAAGAAAAAGTTTATAAGACAGTGGTGAGAACAGTTATGTTGTATGGACTGGAGACAAAGACATGGACAAAAAGACAGGAGAAAGAACTGGAAGTGGCAGAAATGAAGACGTTGATGTTCTCCTCAGGAGTGACAAGGATGGAGAAGATCAGGAATGAGATCATCAGAGGTACAGCACAGGTTGAACAACTGGGAGATAAAGTTAGAGAGGACACACTGAGATGGTTTGGACATGTCCAGAGGAGGGACAGTGGTTTGGACATGTCCAGAGGAGGGACAGTGGTTTGGACATGTCCAGAG